ATGGCAGTGAGGATAGCATCATAGTCAAGAGCATAGATATCTACCCTCTGCCTAAGCAGCTCCACCCAGTCGGGGAGCTCAGCCGCGTCGCCAAACTCTGTACGCCAGGCGTCGCTCAGACGAGCGAAGCAGCGGGACTCTGTGTGACCAAACGTCCCGCAAGGCTGACCAGTCCGAGCACCAGTGCGAATGACGTACGGGCAGCGAGCAGTACCCCGTGACCCTCCACGCTGAGCGTACCACTCACGAAGCTGCTGGGGCGTGAGGGACTCACTCGGACGTCGCGGGAGCTGCATCTGGCCACCGCCAGGAGCAGCAGTAGCAGTAGTAGCAGCAGTAGTAGTAGCAACAGCGCGGCCACCCCTACAACCCCAACCAGCATACCACTCACGAAGCTGTTGGGGCGTGAGGGACTCACGCGGACGGCGCTGGAGCTGCATCTGGCCACGCCAGGAGCAGCAGTAGAAGTAGAAAGAGCAGTAGCAGCAGGAGCAGCAGTAACAGCAATACGGGCAGGGCAGTGCTCACTAGTGGCGAGAAGGGCAGGCGTACGACGGTGGTAACGGCGAGGCCGCTACCAATGCAGGGCGAGGGCTCCGCGGCAGCTGCAGGGGCGGCTGCTCCAGGGGCCAGGGGCGGCTGCAGAGGTCCAGGGGCGGCTGCTGCAGGGGCAGCTGCTGCAGGGGCGGCTGCTGCAGGGGCGGCTGCTCCAGGGGCCAGGGGCGGCTGCTGCAGGGGCGGCTGCTCCAGGGGCCAGGGGCAGCTGCTCCCTTTTTTTTTTCTTTTTTATAATTAATTATTTATTTTAGGGTTTGGCAGAGCGCACTCGGCGCTGCAGAGGCGGCTCGCGGGCTGCAGGGTGGCTCGGGCAGCAGCGAGGGGGGGGGGCGGCGCGCGGCTCCCCAGGGCGCCGCGACGGGGCAGCGGGGGGGGGGGGGGGGGGGAGGGGGGGCGCGCGCGGCTCCCCAGGGCGTCGCGACGGGGCAGCGGGGGGTCGAGCGCGGCTCCCCAGGGCGTCGCGACGGGTCAGCGGGGGCCGAGCGCGGCTCCCCAGGACGTCGCGACAGGGCAGCGGGGGCCGAGCGCGGCTCCCCAGGGCGTCGCGACGGGGCAGCGGGGGCCGAGCGCGGCTCCCCAGGGCGACGCGACGGGACAGCGGGGGTCGCGCGCGGCTCCCCAGGGCAGCGCGACGGGGCGGAGGCAGCGCCCACGGGTGACACGCGGCTCGGCAGGGCAGCGCGCTGGCTGCAGGGGCGGTTCTCGGGCCTGATGGGCCTGCAGAGGCGGCTCGGGGGGGCCTGACGGGTCTGCAGAGGCGGCTCGGGGGCCTGACGGACCTGCAGGGGCGGCTCGAGGGCCGTACTAGCTTGCAGGAGGCAGCGCGAGGGCTGCAGGACGGCACGCGGGCAGACCGAAGGGCGGGTCGCACGGGGGGCGCACGAGGGCGCACGTAAGGTAGGGCGCACGAGGGCGCACGAGGGCGCACGAGTATAGAAAGGCGCACGAGGGCGCACGAGTATAGAAAGGCGCACGAGGGCGCACGTAAGGTAGGGCGCACGAGGGCGCTTCTAGCGGAATAGTGGGCCCGTAGGAGAAAGCGGTCCTAGGTAGCAACCTAGGCTCGTGATACCATGTTAGAATGTAGAACTGAACGAGAATGTGTGAAACTAGGCAGCAGGGTGATACAAGTAGGAAACCCTAGCAATGTTGTACCCCCTAAGGCTAAACCCACTATAGCCTATACAATATGAACATGTATAATGTTTGACATTGCCTGCCCGCGTGCCCTCCTCTGCCCGCGCGCCGCCCTACTTGCAGCGCGCCGCCCTACTCTGGCCACGCGCCGCCCTTCACTGACCGTGCGCCGACCTTCACTGACCGACCTACCCTAGTGCCTGTTCGCCGCCCTACCTTCCCTGAGTGCTGCCGTGCCGGTCGTACACCTCCTTACTTTGCCCGCTATGACGTCTCTTCGTGGTAGTGGTGGGAGTCGTGGCGGTGGTGGTGGTAGCTGTGGGAGTGGTGGCGGTGGCCGCAGTGACAGTCTCGGTGGAGCAGTTCGGTGGGGAGTTTCTGGCGGTGGCCAGATGCAGCTCCAGCGACGTCCGCGCGAGTCCCTCACGCCCCAGCAGCTTCGTGAGTGGTACGCTAGTTGGGGTTGTGGCGGCAGCCGTAGTGGCAGTCGCCCTGGAGCTGGTCAGTCGGGAGTTTCTGGCGGTGGCCAGATGCAGCTGCAGCGGCGTCCGCGCGAGACCCTTACGCCCCAGCAGCTTCGTGAGTGGTACGCTCAGAGTAGAGGGTCTTGGAGTACTGTTCGCTGCCCGTACGTCACTCGCACAGGTGATCGGGCTGGTCAGACTTGCGGGACAGTTGGTCACACACAGTCCCGCTGCTTCGCCTGTCTCAACGACGCCTGGCATACAGAGTTTGGCGACGAGGCTGAGCTCCCCAGCTGGATGGAGCTGCTTAGGCAGAGGGTGGATATCTTTGCTCTTGACTATGATGCTATCCTCACTGCCATGTATGCATTGCCTACTAGTACTGAGGGTGACTGTTACCTGTGTGTACCGCCCAACCCAGGTATAGAGTCTGCTGCTCTAGGTGCTGGTGAGGCTGCTGCTCTAGGTGCTGGTGAGGCTGCTGCTCTAGGTGCTAGTGAGTCTGCTCTCTCTGGTGCTGCACCTGCGTGAGGCCTTGCACACCTTCACGCTTGACTCAGGTGCTTCCCGCTGTTTCTTTCGCGATAGTACCGCACTCACACCGCTCCCTGCACCTGTTGCTGTCTCTCTGGCTGACCCCTCTGGGGGCCCAGTCCTTGCACGTTCCTCCATTGTTCTCCCGTGTCCGGCGGTTCCGTCTGGCTCACTGTCAGGTCTTCACCTCCCCTCGTTCTATACGAACTTGGTGAGCAACGCCGTCCTTCAGGATGTATGTGTTGACACCTTTACTCCAGGAGGACAACGTGTGGCAATCTGTACGTGCTCCCGGACTGGCCGGCACCCGGCCACGTTCACACATGCGCCTGGCTCGAGTCTGTACACACTGACTACTGTGTCTCGTCAGGTAGTTGCGTCTGCGTCAGGTCAGCTAGCGGCCCCCTGCTCGTGTCGCGCACTGTCGCACCGGACCCTCCTTTGGCACCACCGTCTTGGTCACCCCTCAGTGCAGCGCCTTCGTGGCATGCACTCGCGTCTCCTCGTCTCTGGTCTTCCTGAGACTCTTCCTCCCCTCCCACCCTCGCCTGCCCCTCCCTGTCTTCACTGTGTCGAGGGGCGGCAGCGCGCCGCTCCTCACTCCTCCTCGTTTCCCCCGACGACTGCTCCCCTGCAGACTCTCCACATGGACGTGTGGGGCCCAGCCCGCGTCCGTGGACAGGGCCACGAGCGCTACTTTCTGCTGGTTGTTGACGACTACTCGCGTTACACCACGGTCTTCCCCTTGCGCAGTAAGGGGGAGGTCCCTGATGTTTTGATCCCTTGGATCCGCGATGTCCGTCTCCAGCTACGCGAGCGGTTCCACACGGACCTTCCAGTCCTGCGTCTGCACTCTGACAGAGGTGGTGAGTATTCCTCCGACCTCTTGTGGGACTTTTGTCGTGGGGAGGGCATTCTCCAGTCATTCACGCTTCCGGCCTCTCCGCAGCAAAATGGGGTTGCTGAGCGCCGCATTGGCTTAGTCATGGAGGTCGCTCGTACCTCCATGATCCATGCGGCTGCTCCCCATTTTCTGTGGCCGTTTGTGGTCCGGTACGCTGCGCATCAGCTCAACCTCTGGCCCCGTGTCTCCTTGCCGGAGACCTCGCCTACACTGCGTTGGACGGGGAAGGTTGGCGATGCGTCGGAGTTCCGGGTCTGGGGTTCTCGTGCCTTTGTCCGCGATACGTCCGCGGACAAGCTCTCCGCATGCGCCATTCCCTGCGTCTTCCTTGGTTTCCCCCCTGACGCGCCTGGCTGGCAGTTTTACCACCCCACCTTGCGCCGTGTCCTGCCCTCTCAGGGCGTCACGATCGACGAGTCGGTTACCTTTTACCGCCTCTTCCCCTACCGCTCTGACCCTCTCCCCCCCCCGCCGCTCTTCCTCGCACCAGGTCCTCCTCCATTAGACCTCCTCCCCCCTCAGGGTCCTGCTCCCTCAGGTGTGTCTCAGGTAGACCCTGTCGAGCCTGTCGAGGTCGCGGTCGACTCTGGTGCTGCTGTTGGGGGTGGTGCTGCTGGGGGTGCTGAGCCGGAGCGTGCGGAGCCTGGGGGTGCTGAGCCTAAGCGTGCGGAGCCTGGGGGTGCTGAGCCTGAGCGTGCGGAGCCTGGGGGTGCTGAGCCTGGGGGTGCTAAGCCTGGGGGTGCTGAGACTAGGGGTGCTGAGCCTGCCGGTGCTGAGACTGGGGGTGCTGAGCCTGGGGGTGCTGAGTCTGCTAGAGGTCCTACAGGTGCCTCGTCCCGGCGGGAGTCTCTCTCTCCACCACAGCTGCGCGAGTGGTTTGCTCGGCGCTGGAGCCTTCGGAGTTGCGCTGCTGGAGCCGGGGGGGCTCCTGCTGGAGGCCCTGGAGCTGGAGGTACTGGAGCTGCTGGAGCTGGAGGTGCTGCTGGCGTTGGAGCTGGAGCTTCTGGAGTTGATGGAGCCACTGGTCCCGGAGGTGCTCGTACTGGAGGTACTGGAGCTGCTGGTGCTGGTGGTGCTGCGGGCGTTGGAGCCGGAGGTGCTGGAGCTGCTTTTCATGGAGTTAGTGAGGGTACTGGAGGTTCCCCACAGTGCAGTCTTCATCGTCTCGCTAAGGGTAATCTCAGCTGCCCGCTTCCCTTCCGTCACCACGCCGAAGGTCCCAAGCACCGAGCGCTTAACCTGAAATCCCTGATCATTTTTCCAGGCTGTGAACATGCGCAAAAACACATCAACCACATTCTTGTCCTTCATAACCTCCTTCAGTTGCATGAGAGTGATGACGTGAGTCTCACTGATGATGCCATAAAGAACCTGAAGCCGCCTTTCAAAGGACGGGTAGAAGTCTATGGCATGGTCGGCAGCTTCCATGCACATCCGGTCCCGCGCCTCGATGAAATGAAGCTGAGATAGACGGGTTGATAGGATGAGAGAGCACGGGGGACAGTGAGAGGGAGCAGAGGGATGAGAGAGGGGAGGGGGACAGCAAGGGGCAGCAGATGGATGAGAGAGCACCGGGACAGCAAGGGGCAGCAGAGGGATGAGAGAGCACCGGGACAGCAAGGGGCAGCAGAGGGATGAGAGAGCACCGGGACAGCAAGGGGGAACAGAGGGATGAGGGAGCATGGGGGACGGTGAGAGGGATCAGAGGGATGAGAGGGCACAGGGGACAGTATGAGGGAGAAGAGGGACGAGAGTGCACAGGGGATGTATGCCCGCGAAGGGGACAGGTGGAGGGGGAGCCAATGGATGAAAGCGAAGGGAGATGCCATGCTCACCCTCATGAGCTCGAGTTTCGGCATGCCATGCCGGCGACGGATGGGCTGCCCTTCTGCGGGTGTGCTTTCTGCAGTTTGGCCGGGACTGGTGCCTGGCGAGGATGGGCAGGTTGACAACGATCCCAAAGGAGGCATCGGGGGGGGGGGGGGGGGGGGGGGCGCGGGGTTTGGGGTTTCTAGGGCGAATCTTCATGTCCGCGATTACGGCATTCGCTCGTTCCAACTCCCGCGTAAGCTCCTCCACACTCTTGGGTGCAGCCATGCCTGGCCTAGCGGATGCACCAGGAGAACCCATGCTCTCGCCCCTCCCCTCCTTCATTAACGCCTCCTTTTTCGGACGGTGGCAGTCTGCACCTGCATCATGGGCATCCCACGTAGCATTGGCTCCACCTCCATCACATTCTCCCAGCGCATTAGCCCAACCACCATCGGCCATCCCGTCATTGACAGTCGAGTTACCGTGCCGCTTCGTCGCCCTTTCGACTTTGACGTTAACCGATGGCCCCCGAACCTCCGTGCGCTTCGCAGGTGGGTGATTTGATTCCTTGGCATGACGCCAAGACCCTTGTGGCATCGGGTCGGTTTTCTTCCCATCCGTTAGTGCAGGCCCTCTCAGTGCACCGTATGGGTCATCCTGAGCCTCCCGCTTCAGCCTTGCCTTATCTTTCCGATCAAGAGAGGTGGTCGGAGCTGCCTTGGCTATTGCGCCCATCTCCGCATAGAATTTGAGCTCGCGCTTCAATGGGAGGCGCACATTGCCAATCCTAGCTTTGCCCCGAGCACGGTCGCTCCTACCATGCCTCTCCTCCTCACGACGACCGCGCTTCCTACCACTTTTGTCCCGTCCCCTCTCAAAGCTTTTCCTTTCCTTGCACTTCTTGTGCTTCCGACCACTCTTCTTCTTCAACGGACGCTCTTCCTCCGCATCATCGCTCTCCGGCTCCAAATCCTCATCCTCGCTCCCCTCCTCCTCCTCGTCCTCATACACCTCCTCACTACTGGATGAACTGCCCGATTCTTCGTCACTGGAATCCTCCTCTGAACCCGATGAGGAGCTGGCAACGTACCGCTTCCGTCCATGCCGAGCTTGTCAGAATGTTGTATTTGTCTAGCCTGCAGTGGGGTACTCTATAGCGAGTACAGCCCAATCTAGGGTTTCCTATATGTACTCAACTGCTTGCTAGTGAACTCCCTCCTTTCTTCATTCTCACTTTCTACTGCTAGTTCTGACATGCTATCAGAGCAGGTCGATCCCCTTGGGTCGATCCTGTGGGTGGGCCCACCACCTCACTGCTTCCGCTGCTACTGCTATTCTGTGTGTTGCACGCCCCGTGGCGTGCGACGGATTTTTCATCCCGCCGCGCGCTCGGAGCGTGCGGCGGTTTTCTGCCCGCCGTGCGCCCCGAGGCGCGCGGCGGTTTTCTGCCCGCCGTGCGCCCCGAGGCGCGCGGCGGTTTTCTGCCCGCCGTGCGCCCCGAGGCGCGCGGCGGCTTTCTGCCCCGTCACTCCGCGCGTCGCTCCCGGGAGGCGCTGCGACGGGCGACGGGGACCCGCGCGTCGCCCCCCGTCGCCCGTCGCGGCCTGCGCGACCTGCGTAGGGCCCGCGCGCGGCCCGTACAGCCTGCGCGCGGCCCGTACGGGCTGCGCCAGGCCCGCGCGCGGCCCGTACGGGCTGCGCCAGGCCCGCGCGCGGCCCGTACGGGCAGCGCCAGGCCCGCGCGCGGCCCGTACGGACTGCGCCAGGCCAGGGCGCGCCTCGGGCCGCCCGCACGCGGTTCGTACGGGCTGCGCCAGGCCCGTGGGCGCCCTGTTTTCTCTGCCCCTGCGCTGCCCGCTGTCCCCCGTGCTTCTGACGGCGCCCCACCCCTGCTGCTGCCCGTTCTCCTGAATTAGGGTTTGGGGGTGGGGGGTATGGGGGTGCAGTTTCTGTGCGTCGTCCCCTACTCCTCCTCCTCCTCCGTCTCCCAGTGCTGCAGCTGCCGCTGAGGGGGGTGGGTGTGTGGGAGCCGAAGGAGTGGTACTAGGGGGGTGACGTGCAAGTGGAGTTAGGAGTGAAGCAGTGGGTGTGTGGGGGGTGTGTGGGACAGTTGGAGGAGGTTGAGCGGAGACTGCTGTCTTGTCGTCCGCAGCACCTGTAGTCCGGGGCGCACTGTCCTGGTAGCCCAGAGAGTCTGCTGCGCCTGTCGCCCGAGGGTCCGTTGCTCCTGTAGCTCGTCGTAGCCCGTGAGCCAGTTACTCCAGTAGTCCGGGGCGCACTGTCCCGGTAGCCACTGTGCCAGTAGCTCCTGTTGCCCGTGTGTCTGCAGCTTCAGCCGCCGTCTCTCATCTTCTCTCCTCTCACAGTCCCTCCTCCTCCTCACTTGCCCGCTGTGATTACCTCTAGCTTTGCTTCTTATTGTGAACTCCTGCTATACCTGCTCATTGTGCTGATTACACCCCACTTTGGCTATGGGGGTGTGTCAGAATGTTGTATTTGTCTAGCCTGCAGTGGGGTACTCTATAGCGAGTACAGCCCAATCTAGGGTTTCCTATATGTACTCAACTGCTTGCTAGTGAACTCCCTCCTTTCTTCATTCTCACTTTCTACTGCTAGTTCTGACAGAGCTTTTCTTGTCTCCCTATCACGACCGCCCGTGTCAACTACTTTGTGACGCTTGTACACCTTTTCGGCCCCACGTCCCGCATCCCCACCATCGGCCCCATTGAGCACCGGTTTCCCATTAGCTACGTCTGGATCGGCAACTGCAGCAGCCTAGGTCCCATTCCCGTCGTCACCACCAGCCACAGCCGTCTCTTGCCGCTGAGATGGACTGGCCCTCTCCTCCGCAGCCGCCCTTCCCCTTCTGCGCTTTCCACCCCCATGGGTGTCACGCTTGTCAGTAGTCATTGCTGCGAGAGCACCAATGTAGCAACAATAGTAGGGACGGCACACGTTAAACAAGCAGCGTCTTGCTAGGCATATATCAAAGGTCAGGCACATAACACTTACCTTCGTTGTCGTGCTCGGGCTGAGCTTGGTCGTCAGCACTAGCCACAGCCGTCTCCTGCCGCTGAGATGGACTGCCCCTCTCCTCCGTAGCCGCCCTTCCCCTTCTGCGCTTTCCACCCCTTCGGCTGTCACGCTTGTCTGCAGCCTTTGCTGTGAAAGGAGCAAAGAATCGACAGGAGCGGTCACAATAGAAGTTAGACATGCTCTGATTGCGCAGTAACAGCATACAGCATGGTTGTAACTGATAAGACGAGTCGTATCGCTTGTGGCCTTTATACAACTCTTACTTTTCTTGCCCTTTGTGGGGCTGAACTCTTCTAGACTCTTCATCCGCCTCGAACGCCGTTTCGGCGGCGAGGATACGCCTTTATTTGCGTATGGCTCCTCATCGCCATCGCGGCAAGACTCGCTGCCTGATGAAGAATCGCCACCGGACTCACCATTGTCGCGCGTTGTCGACTGATTGTATTTCCGAAAATCCTTCACTATGTCCGCTGTTTTCTCGGCAATAACTACTTCCATATACCTCTTCTCCTCTGGCGATTTGGAGGAATTGGGTAGCAAGACTGTCCCTCCTTTCGCAATTTCTGATTGCTCTCGCACCGACCGATCCAGGTTTACAACCATGACTGACCTATAAGCTTTGAGACACAGGTACTGGGACACTAATGATGCACCTTAAATATGTGACCCAACTTATGACGGAGTTCGAGATAGGAATGCAGTGCAGCAGTTGTAGATCCAACCACCACGAAACCCTAGTCGGAATCAAGCAGGGATGAATGAACATGACCGTCAGGGAGAAGCACGATAGACCACCCCGATGCAAAGTTGGCAAAACCAAGAATCGAAGGGCAGCAATGTGGCAGAAAAATCACGACCTGACTTACCGTTGCTTAGCCATGAACCCTGCTAAGTGTTGTTACCCATGAACTTACCCATGCGTTGTATGCCTCCACTTACAGTCATCCTCGCGACTAAGTGTTTAGGGTAGCCCGTTCTGGGGATATAATCACATTTACAGTTGACGCCACCTACGATCCGCGCTAGAGTCACAGCCACCACGTACAGTACAATGCCGGCTACGCATGTGCGAGTCGCCAAGGTACCACACGATGTGTTATAGTCACAGTAGGCTTCAATGTGCCTAAAACGAAAGATAGAGTGCACAGTCGGATTTCTGCACAGCGGCTTTAAACGTTCATAGCGTTCTGGTCACAGCTTCAAATGACCTGCTTCAACTTGGATCTGGAGCGTCTTAATGTCGCCTACAATAGGCAATTTAGGTCGCACGATTTCACCAAGTATTGACGACACAGCGTCGGTTTGAACGAACGGCACGATGGCAGCCACTATAGTCTTAGAAGACACAATAGGAAGAGTTGGCAAGAGTTACGAGTTGGGAATGACTCCCAGCTCCTACAAACCCCAAGAGCCGAGGTACAGTGATGTGGAACAGTGCCACACTGTCCCCAACCAAGAAGGGTCTCGAAACTACCCTCCACAAGGGTCTACACCAACATAAGTGTTACACTACACATTGTAATGTAACTATCTTCAACATCTTGAAGTGTACCCTTTTTGGCGAGCTTCGAAATCACTTGAGGCTTGACACCAAGGCTCTGGTTCTTCACCACAAACTCATCCTTGAGTTCTTCATGGGTCTGCTGCACACACCTGCGACACGCCGAACGTTCGACACAGGACAAAATAGGAACCGCGCGAGACACACAAGCGACAAGATAGAAACCGCGCGGGACACGAATAGCGATAACTCGCTATTGACTTGACACGCACACATTCGACATCATGACTCAACATTCACACACTATTATAAGCATGAAATATATACTATCTCATGCCCTCATACCATTCCATGCACACACGCATGCACGCACATGGACAACAAGCCGAGTGCAAACCGTAGGTTGCACCAACAAACTCCCCCTCGGATTGTTGGCCTTAGGATCTTGCTCTCTCAGTTCAGAGACATCCCAGCCAGCTTGCAGCACTTCCAATGCTGCTGCTCCACCAGCCTCTTGGTCATCATATCAGCTGGCTGCCCCGTCGTCTTCACATAGTGCAACTCAACTTCACCCGCGGCCACCATGCTCCTCGTCCAATGCCACTTCACCCTCATGTGCTTGGTGAGGCCATGCAACACAGGGTTCTTAGCAAGAGCAATGGCACCCTGGCTGTCACAGTAGAGAGGGGTAGGTCCTTGCTGCTCCTCCCCCAATTCAGCCAACAAACGCCGCTGCCACACAATCTCCCGCACGGCACGGAAGAGTGCCATGTACTCGGACTCCACCGAGCTCAATGCTTGATCAACCTGCTTCTTGCTCTCCCAAGCAGTTGGGCCTCCACCAACACAGCAAATGAACCCTCCAACACTTGTCATGTCCTCTGGTTCCGATGCATATGAAGCATCCGAGTAGGCGGTGAGGAACAAACGCCCGGGTTCTACACCATCCGCGCCCTTTTGGCGCCTTTGCGCCGCCGCCGAGTATTGCAGCCCAACGGTCGGTGTTTGGCCAAGATACTTGGCCACCCTCATTCCAGCTGCTACCTGCTCCTCATTAGGG